CTACTATTGATTTTTGCTTTTATTGCTTGTAATGTTGGTGTCATATCAAAAAAATAATTGCCAAGACCAATGCCAAGGAGTCTTATCCATATGTTTTCTTCTAGGTGTTTTATGATTTTAGATTTTACATTCAAGTCTTTAATCCATTTCAAATTAATTTTTGTGAGTGATGTAAGAGAAGAGTCCATCTTTATTCTTCTGCATGTGATTATTCCATTTCCCCAAAACTGTTTTTACAGTGACTGTCCTTTCCCAAGGAGTATTCTTCAATTCCTTATCAAATATTAGTTATTAATTAAGATATCAAATATTGTCCTGTTCTTGTTTCATAGCTTACTCTTCTTGTGTTATGAATACCACCCCTTATTTTCCACTGAGGGTTTTAGGAATACATACTATATGTGTTTTAGTTCTTTCATAATGTTATCTGCATTCCCACCAGCATGAGTGAGTTCATTAGTTCATGGCCAGGGACTGACGCATGTGGTGTCCTTTTGTCTGAGAGCTCTGTTTGCAGGGGCGTTTTCCTCTTCACTGGTGGGTGGCTTCCTGGTGGTACATTCTTTAAATCTGATCTTTGGTTAATGGCCCAATGGTCCTGTCTGGTCAGAGACTACGTTCTGGCTATTGGGTGTGAGTGAATTTCCAGTCATGCAAATGCCCCTGTGTCATTCTCCTGGAGTTAGAACCAGGTGCATTACTACTTCTAACTCTAAGCAAGTTATATTAGTCCCTATTCTTGCACAGAGAGCATGGGCTCCAGCCCTGGTTTCATGCCCAGGGCTCCCCAAGTAACCTGGCACCGCCCTGAGTGACGTGCCCAGGGCTCTTACTCTCAAGCAGCACAGGAGCCTTCCCCCAGCTCACAGCTGACCTCAGTTCTCTGTGAGTTCTCCGCGGCAGCATCAGCTACAGCTTTCCATTCTATTTGGGGGCTTTTATTTTTCATTTATTTCTGTGTTTGTATTGGGAGGGAGTGGTTTCAGTCTGAGCTCACTCGGCCATCTTCACTTAGCAGGTCTGAGTTACTTTTATGATGAACAACAAATCTGCTTTCTAAAACAAACATGTAAACAAGAGCGGGCTCCACAGGCACGTGCTGTATCGCAGTGAGTAAACACACAGGTTCTGGAGTCAGACAGGTCTGGGTTTGAATCCTGGCCCTGCCACTTGCTGGTTGTGCAACCTCGGGAAAATTATATAATCTCCGTGTTCCACTTTCCTCCTCCCACAGTGGGCATATCGCCTGGGCCAGCGTGTGAGCAAATGAGATAGTAATGCGTAGGGAGCCCCAGCACAGTGTCTGGCACATAGAAGTTCCTCCCTCCTCCACTCTCCAGGTCTGCACGGATTAAAACAGTTATCAGAACCAGGCAGAAGAGATCACGCCGGCATTTTTATTACTGGTGGAGTGTTGGAGAACAATGGGAATATTAGGTAACCGATACCTTTCCAAAAAGTGATGCCTCACATCATCATTAATTCCACTTTCAACAAATTGTGTTATAATATCCAGGTCTATAGACAATAGATCCTCACTTATCATCGATAGGTTCCATGGCTTTAATGGAAACAACATATAACGTAACCAAATTCACCAGAGGCTAATTTATATAAACAAGGGTTAAATTCCTACAGCATCTCGTCAGTGTTGTAACAAAACGACCTTATTCGAGCACCTGCTGTAATTGGTTACCACATGCATTGTTGCTGCTTCCCCAATATTTCATTGAATAAGAAAAAAATTACTACTTCTAACTCTAAGCAAGTTATATTAGTCCCTATTCTTGCACAGAGAGCATGGGCTCCAGCCCTGGGTTCATGCCCAGGGCTCCCAGTGTAACCTGGCACCACCCTGAGTGACGTGCCCAGGGCTCTTGTTCTCAAGCAGCGCAGGAGCCTTCCCCCAGCTCACAGCTGGCCTCACCTTCCCCCCCCCCCCCCCCTACGGGACTGGACCACAGGCCAGAAACAAACTTATTGCAAAACAGGGACCTTCGAGTCACCAGGCCAGCAGATCTGGTCTCTTCCCTGACACTGGGAGTTGGAATCTGGCCCCTTCTTGGTCCTCTAGACCCTAACCCCATTTCTATTGGGACTTTGAGTAGGATGGTGGGTCGGTGTGTGTTGAGGGGGCAGGAGAGGCTTTCACCATGGTTATATAACCTGTCCGAGGGTCCCCATGTGTCCCAGCTTACTTGGTTCCCAGCTCTGTGTGCATAACTGCACAATGGGGGTGTATCCGTATTGGGGAGAATTTGGGGGTCAGGGTGCTTGGAAAGGGTCCTTGAAGGCTGAAGGTGCGAAGGCCAGGGTGTGACTGTCCCAGCAGGAAGATATCTGGGAGTCAGGACGAGGCCACGTGCGAGCTGGCTGTGTGGCTCAGTGGTTGGGAGAGTGTGGCTGGTGAGTCACATGCCTGCGTAATGGTGTGGCCCCTCCAGGGCTGAGGACAGTCTCTCTGCGAGGTGACATGGCCCAGGAAGGTGCACGACCCCTGCCCCAGGCTCCTAGAGACGGTGGTGCTGTTAAGTGTGATGAGTGAAGCGGGCGTGTGGGCCGCGAATACGGTGGCTGTTTTGGTGGCAGCTGAACTCCCACGCACGGGTTGTGAGTCCAGGGGACTTACGTTGTATGCAAGTTGGTGGGTTACCTGGGCATGTGGTTATGATTCCAGAAAGACTAAGTTTATGTCTATAGAAAGCTTGTGTGGCTGAGCTGCCTTGTGGTTGTGTATGGGTGTGTGGTTCAGTGAGTGTGGCCCTGTGGACGAGTACCTGTGACTGACTCTCAAAAACAACGACATGGGTGTGAATGTGGTTTCCTGTGGTGTAGACTTATGGCTCTGGACACAGCCACGTCCAGGCCCAAGGTCGAGGCTGCTACCTCCCAATACCTGCTCCTTCATTTGTTCCACACGATGGGGTGAGGTGGAGGTCAGTGGGGCCGAACTTGCAGCTGGAAGTTTGGGGGGGTGTTGAAAAGGCCACTGACAGCTCGCTGGAGACTCACGGCACTCCCTGGGCACGGCTCTTCAGGGAGAAGTTGTGGATTTCTTTTCTTTTTTAAAAAAAAAAATTTATTGATTTTTACAGAGAGGAAAGGAGAGGGATAGAGAGTTAGAAACATTGATGAGAGAGAAACATCGATCAGCTGCCTCCTGCACATTCCCTACTGGGGATGTGCCCGCAACCAAGGTACATGCCTTTGACTGGAATTGAATCTGGGACCCTTCAGTCCGAAGGCCGACACTCTATCCAACGAGCCAAACCAGTTAGGGCTGAATTTCTTTTCTTAACACAGATAATTAACTTGTAATATTTTATTTTTATTTTTATTTATTTTTTAATATATTTTATTGATTTTTTACAGAGAGGAAGGGAGAGAGATAGAGAGTTAGAAACATCGATGAGAGAGAAACATCGATCAGCTGCCTCTTGCACGCCCCCTACTGGGGATGTGCCCGCAACCAAGGTACATGCCCTTGACCGGAATCGAACCTGGGACCTTTCAGTCCGCAGGCCGACGCTCTATCCACTGAGCCAAACCGGTTTCGGCTAACTTGTAATATTTTATAAAGTAAGACCCAGGCTCAAATTTTGTCCATTACTTGGTGCCTGTATTAGCCACACACTTAAACATGTACCCATGCTCATAGTTTCGATTTCCATCAGCCAGAACACAACCAGAAAACTCTTTTTAAATAAATAGAAATCATCTCCTCTTTTCTATTTTTGCCGTATACACACACACACACACACACACACACACACACGATCAAAACCACAAACACATTGTTTTTTTGTCTCCCCCCCCGCCCCCCCTTTGTGATCTGGACCCAGGGTCTCTTTAGTCTGTTTAATTGTGGTAAAAGCTACAAACATACAACTTACCTTTGTTCACTATTTTTAAGTGTACAGTTCAGAGGCATTAAATATGTTCACATTGTTTGTTCAACCATCGCCAACATCCATCTCCAGAAAACTTTCACTAAACTATAGCTTTGGAAGCTATCAATCTTGTTAAGGATCTCTCATTCACATAGTAACAGTTGAAGAAAGAAATGTAGCCCGGGCAACATCTGCTGCTCTCAGCTGCCGTGTTTCAGAAGTAATAGTGTCCCCTTTTGAAAAACCTCTTCCTATTTTGTCATTCCTTGCAAATCCCTAGCAATGTTGCTTTATGAAAACAAAATTTAAAATAGAAAACAAATACTTTGTCCTCTGCTGGTATAGAACAACCAAAGTTTATAACAAGGTAACTATGTTATAGCCCTCCGAGCTCATTAAAACTACATGCTTCCTGCTGTGTTCTGTCTTTGGGACAGGTGTGTAATGAAGATGGATGGAGTGTGACCCTAAGAGCTCCCTTACCAGAGAATATCCTGGCCAAATTCTGTTTGTTACATTTTAATGTTATTTGATATGTTCCTTAGCACCATACTTCTTCGCTGTCTACATAACATCAAATGTAGGTCGCCTTCCTTCCCCAAATGCTTGAACCGTTGTTAGATCATTAAGGAAGTTATAATTATTCTGTGATGTCTGAATTTTATTGCTGACTGCATAGATCTCTTCCTGGTATTTAGTGTGAGTATTAAGGCCCTGAAACATAAATCAAATTAAGTTGGTGGGAGTTCTCATTCCGTCTCCTATACTTTCTAAAAGTTTGGAAATGCTACACAACTATGCCTGGCCATGAGAGCGTGGTGCCCAGAGCTCCATTCTCCTTCTGGGGCTTAAGAATATTGTAAAGTGGGAACGCATTGCCCAGAATCCGGAGAAAGGGCATTTGCAAAATCTCTGGCATGAATGGGCATCCTCCTCCGGGGTGGTCACCAGGCAAAGGGCTGGCTTCAGAGGGAGGGAAGAGAGACCCCTGGCACGTTTGGGGCAGGCTGGCATGGAGCTGCCTAGCTCCGTGGTGCTCCCTTAAGTCCTCACAGTATTTTTTTCAAGTTCTTAGTTTATTAATCCTCTCAGAAAAACTTGCACACTCACCACGGATAAAAGCACTGAAGATCTTCTCTCCTTTTTGCAACACCAACATTGGCCTTTGCAGTCCGTCTGCCTTTCTTCATCCTGCTCTTGCGTTCCTTTTGTGGTTTTCTTGAGGCCTTCTCAGACAGGCCATGTCCTGCAGGTCCACATTTAAGTTCATTTTTCCTTGCGTAAGCCAAGGAATCATAAATCATGCCGATGCCAGTGGTCTTGCCACCGCCAAAATGGGTTCTGAATCCAAACACAAAGATGACATCTGCTGTGATCGTGTACACTTTGGCTAGTTTCCCCCGAATTTCTGCCGTGGGTACTGTTGCCATCCCAAGGTGAAGGACGCCAATGACCATTTGCTTCCGCTGGAGTAGTCTGTGGGTCATGGGCTTCTTGGTCCAGGGAGTTGCAGTGGCGTCCATGATGGTGGCCGTACTTCAAGCAGCCAGGGAGGAAAGGACTATTTTCTAGTTCCCCAGAATAAATCCCGCACGTAAGCCCCACATTTCCCAAACGTTTTGGTCTAGGCCTAGAGACCCCCAAGTCCAAGGCCTTTGACACAACCTGTTGGAGATTCCTTTCTTTTCTGCTTTCCACCCTGTCCCTCTTGCCTCCAGGTTACAAGCAAACAGCAGGGGCTTGAAAAGGAGCCAGAGAGCAGGAAGGGGGGCCTTTTGGTTAATACTGCGAAACATTGTCCCTATGGTGATGGAAGAGAGTGGATTTTCTCCAATAGGATACAGTCACCCTTGGAAAGCTGATCTGCAGAACAGTGGTCCCTTTCCAGGCTCAGGATAGTCTCCTTAAAAAAAAAAATGCAGTAAGAGGATTTGCTATTGAAAAACTTAGGATCTTATGAGAAATATATTATTAGAGCCAGATCACAATCTCGGCTGCACGTTAGAATCGCCTGGGAGAACTTCTAAAACGCCAAGCGCAGGACACCAGGGCCCACCTCTAGCGACTCTGATTTAATTGGCCTGGAGGGGGACCACAAGCAGAGCTAGTTTTCAAAGTTTCCTAAATATTCAGGGCAGGGCCGGAGGCCCTCAGCATATAAACAGGACCGACGCACCCATTCGACTCAGCACAGAGCCCGCACCCACGATTCTTTCAGGGGCCCACAAAAATGTATAATTTATTTTAAAAGTAGAGGGGGAAATGCATACTTGGGTGGAAGAGCATGTTTTACTACATATTTACTACATAAATATACATTTATGCTGATGTATTTGTAAAATATAATTTTTAATATATTTGTATGGAGGAAGGAACCCACCACACAGAAGCGCCCGGGGCCCACAGGAGTCACCATGCGGTATGAGAGGGACCAGTGTAAGGGGTGTCTCTGGGTGTCCCCACTATAATGACTCTGTTCACTTGAGGAGAGCACACTGAAGTACATCCTCGATGTCTACACCTGCGTTGGCAGTCACGATGCCCACATTTACTTCCCTTCATCGTGCCTGTTCGTGCCAGGTGCTTTGGAGTGGTCTCTACTCAGTCTCAGTGAGCTGCCTGGAGGTTTGCTGTGCTGCCTGTGATGGCCTGCGAGGCGTTTTGAGTGTTTGGTCTTCTAGTTAAAGACCCAGTGCCACCTTTGATTTGGAGCTGCCGATCCGGTTCCTGTGGTTTTCAGAGGCAGCGTGGATTGAAGGCCTGGAGGAAAGCAGCGCTGGCCCTGGCCCTGAGCGAGAGGCCCTGCCAACGTGGGCTCCCTGCCTGGCCATGCGGGCCTCTGACGCTCAGCTCGGCTCCTGCCCGGCCCCTCCTGAGGGCAGAGATTCCTAAGGCTGAGTTACATAAACCTTTGCTTTCTTTCCTAACCCATGTCCATACTTTAAAAGTCATGTTCCCCATGTGGGCACAGACTCTGGGATTCTCATGGTGAGGGCAAGGTCTATGGACGACAATCGACGTGTCCTTGAATTTCGCCGAGGGCGCTGGGGCTGGGAGGGACTGACGTGAGGGGAGGGCACGTGGGAAGAATCACCCCTGATGCCTTTCGGTTTGCCATCCTGTGCTTCCCCAGCAAAGCTCTGGCTCCCACAGACGCCAGAGCAGCGGAGACTGCTCCCTACCTATTCATAAAGGACTGGGTCTCGGACAAGTTGTGTGGCTTTTCTGAGCCTCAACTCCCTTATCTGTAAGATGGAGATAAGAGCATCAACCTCCCGGGTTGTTTTGAAAATTAAAGCATTGAATGTGGCTCAGTTGGTTGGAGCTTACACCAAAACGCTGCGGTTTGGTTCCTGGTCAGGGCACATGCCTAGGTTGTGGGTTCGATCCCCGGTCGAGGTGCTTACGTGTGGCAGCTGATCAATGTTTCTCTGTCTCTCTTTCTCTCCCCTCCTCTCTCTCTGAAAACTCAATAAAAACATATCCTTGGGCGAAATTTGAAAAAAAACACCTACAAGCAAAACATTGAATGTGAGTTTCCTCAAATTGCCCACGAAGTCCACATTCCTGCTGTAATCGCTGGCACCTTGACTCTAGGCCTGAAGGCAGAGGGCATCGCCAGTCTGAAGACCTCAACCTGCTCTCGAGTAGACCAGTTCCCAAGCCCTAAGTGTTAGGGATATAAATTGTATCCACTTCTGAAAGATAAACTAAATTCTCGTTCTCATTATTTCACTGAATAGTCCCAGCGTGCTACTTTTGCTTTAGACATATCCAAGAAAAATGTGTCTGGAAGGAGCAACCCCTTGTCAGAAGGCTCTGGCAGTCCTACATGAACAAAAATGCAGCATTTAGAACATGCAATCTGGGTGTCAGGTCTCATCCATGACCCCGTTGGTCTGAATACAGTCTGAGAATGTGGCCCTCAAGATGGCTTAGATCATCTATGAGCAAATAATTCAACCCCCAAAATGGTTAATTAATTTTCTACAGAGAAAATGTAGCCCCCAGAGTCAATATTTAAAATTTTTTTTAAAAGGTTTTGTTTTTAATCTTGGAATTTGAGCTATCCTGACTTTGGCCAAAGATGATAGAAAAGGCTTTTATATCCTGGAGTTGTTTCAACATAACGAGGGACGCTTTGGGGATAATATTGAACAAATGCATCTTTGTTGAATTCGTATCCGTTGGTGGTTTGGGGATGACTGAGGAGACAGGGATTGTAAACTTGTTCTGTTTCTAGAAAATTCCTCCCTCGGCCGTTTGGCTGAGCGTTGCCATTTCTCCTCTTGTTTTTCAGAATCCAGACAGACAGGCCAAGCTTCCAGGAAGTCCAGCCCTACTTGCATCTGGCCCACAGAAAGTACATAAAAGCCTCTGACTCTGCTGATCCCTCCAAAGCTGCCCTTCGCTCCTCCCGGTTTTTAACCTCGTGTGCAGTTGATACACCTCTGGGCAAGTCTGTGGGCCCTCGTGCCTCACAGCAAATCCTGGGAGGGCAGTATGGAGTCAGTCTCAAGTTTTGATTGCTTTTTTTCCCACTGAGAAACTTCACTCCTCTTTCAACATTTCCAACGACATGATAGGGTTGCCCTATCTATAAAGCAAAGAGAACATAAAGGAAGAGGCCCTGGCCCTGGTTAGAGCATCCTCCCGATACACCAAGGAGGCAGGTTCAATCCCTAGTCAAGGCACACGCAAGAATCAACCCGTGGATGCATGAATAAGTGGAACAACAAATGGACGTGTCCCCTCCCTCTCTCTCTCTCTCTCTCTCTCTCTCTCAAATCAACAAATAGAAATTAAAAAATAATAATAAAGTGGTAGTGTCTCTAATTTCCTGTCTCCCACAGAATAAGAATGTTAATGGTACACTTGGCTTCATTACCTTCCTCCACACTAGACACAAACACATTTGTTTTTCCAAAGGCTACTGAGGACCTTTACATAGTAATTAGGCTCCACCTCTTCCCTGTGGGGTGCATGATTATCACCTCCCTTTCCAGACCCCGGGATCCAGGCCACGGGGAGCTTAGGTTACTAGTCCAAGGCCTTGGGCAAGTCTTTGTTACAACTCAGATAGGTTGAGCCATTCCCTGCCCTGGACACCAGACCGGAGCTCAGAACCTGTGTGCACTGATGAGATTGTGGTGTTCATTCATTTACTGACCTCCGGCTCTGTGCTAGTGGCTAGAGGAGCTGCCAGCTGCCATCTGCTGTGGGAGGCAGGGCCTGGGGGAGCCTTATGCACTGTGAGAGCCCAGGCAATGGACACGTAGCTGCCAGGACAGTTCCATGCAAACTCGGCATCGCTTAGTGCTGACAGCTTCCCAGCTCAAGGGAGCACTGTGGCCCCCGGGAGCCCTCTCAGCATGGAAGCTGGGGTGGGGAGTGTAACGCCCGGGCCTCCATGCTGGAGCTTGGGGAACTCCTCCGGCCCTGTCCTGTATGTTGTCAGTCCTGGGGAGCGTCCGGCAGCTTTTCTAGAGGCTCCTTTGCACACAGTGGCAATCTCAGTGACACACCCTAATCGTGGCTTCCGTCTTCCCTGTCTCACGCTTCCTGTTCCCTCTCCTGCTTCCAGGGATTCCCCAGCTACATGCGCCACCTCCCCGAGTTCCCTCTCAGGCTCTACCGTCAGGGCACGTGAAGCACGGTACTGTTTTTGGCTTTGTTCACTACCTCCTGGTTCCTGTCTTGTGTGTCTGACTACACCTTCCCTGAATGCCCTTCTGCTCCACCAGTTACCGGTGGTCACTGCAGCCTCACAGTGTGGGCCACAGGAAGTGTCCACGGCGCAGCTTCCCCCCTGTGGCCCCTGCCGTGTTCTGCACCCTGCGATGGCTTGTATGTCACGGACGCCATAGCATTTCTCTGAGTATTTCTGCATCATGTATTCCACGCACACAAAATCTAGTGGAGAAAAGAGGTGATTTTTTCTCTACTCTTCCTCCTGAAAATTTCTCTTCTGGCAAGTTGTTGTAATTGACAAAAAATAATAATAAATTAAAAAAATCTTCCTACAGGCTCAGTAACAGCAGCCAAGGGAGGAAACTGATATTGAATAAAAATAAAAAAGAAATGTGTTTCAAAATTTTAGAAGCTCTGCCTGGGGTGGGGGGGTGTTCACTTTAGGTCCAGGCTGAAGCAGCTTGAGCATGCATTTTGACAATAACTGCAGCAAAAGCAGTTTCTCTGATAAACTAATCTCCCCTCTGCTCTCTTCTTGCCCCCAAAGACTCTCCTTATTTATTTTTTAATATGTTTTTATTGATTTTAGAGAGAGGGAAAGAGAGAGGGATAAATAGAGAGAAACATCAATCAGCTGTTTCCTGCACACCCCACACTGGGAACAAGCCCGAAACCTGGCCATGTGCCCTGACTGGGAATCAAACCGTGACCTCCATCCAGGTTCATAGGTCGATGCTCAACCATTGAGCCACATCAGCCAGGCCCAAGTGAATTCTTTTTCTTTCTTTTTTTTTTTTTTTTGGTGTCAAGCTTACTTTTTTTTTAATTAAAT